ACCGGGAAGCTTAAACTCACGCCGGGTGCATGTGCGTACGTGCCCAAGATCTCGAGAGGAGAATGGAGGAGAAGGGATTGCGGTGTGGCCATCCCCCCTGGGGGGTGGTTTCTCGCTTTCTATCTCTCTGTCGTTCTCTGTCTTTCTGGCGAGTGCACGTACCCTATAGCAAAAACCTCTCTCTCAAAAAAAAAAAGAGCACTTTTTAAATATAGACTTAATATTTTTTTTAGAATTATTTATTTGATTCCATTCACTATTATTATTGTTTTTAATTTGCTGAAGGGCATGTGTGCTCACCAGAGACAGAAGGAAAGTGAGAAACCAAGCCACCAGGCCTGGGATTTGAACCACAGTCAGGCATGCGGGAGTCCAGTACCTCCATCACCATGCCACTTCCTGGCCAAGATTCTGACCTTCTAATTAAGGCTCCTAGGGCCTAGATTAGAGCACGAGTGGCTGCACCTATTTGTTCACATGCCAAAAAAATTTTTAAATAATTATTTTATTTTACGTTATTTATTTATTTTTAATTTGACCAGAGAGGGACAGACGGAGAGAGAGAGAGAGAGAAACAGGGAAAATGAGAAAAGAAGCTGCCATGGGACAAGCAGGTGGCATGGTGGCTAAGGCACTGGACACTCCCACATGGCCGACCATGGTTCAAATCCCGGATCTGGTGGCTTTCTTTCTCACTCCCCCCGCCTCTGTCTCTCTGGTCAAATTTAAATAAATGAATGAATGAATAAAATTAAATAATTTCGAAGAAAAAGAAAGAAAAGAAGCTGTCAGGTCCAGGACTCAAACTATGGTTGGCCATGTAAGAGTACAGTGCCCCTAACCACCATGCCACCTGCTGGCCCCCACCTGCAAAAATTTTAAAATTTTATTTCTCTAAAGGTTGTACATTCTGCCTCTCTCTGTTTTTTTTTTTTTTTTTTTTAAGAGATTTTTGTTATAGGGCACATGTGCTTGCTAGAGAGACAGAGAGAGACGGACAGAAATTAACCCCCAGGGGTGATGGCTACGCCACAGTCCTTCTTCTCTATTCCCTTGGGATTTGGGTATGCATGCACACTCACCAGGAATGAGCTTGAAGTTGCTGGGTCTGGGAATCGAACTGCTGTCAACTACGTAAGGAGTCCAGTGATGTAACCACACCACCATCTGTTGGTTCCCATTTCTCCTCTCATTATGCACTCAGTAGGTGCCTACTACATGCTAGCCTCTCAGAGTCAACATTAGGGGATACAGACTCGGCCCAGCCCTCAAGAAGGCTCCAGTCTATCATGGGAACCAGCATTAGGTAAGAAACGGCAAGGCTCTGTTTCTGCAGAGGCGCCCTCTGCTGTAGGTCAGCCTGGTCTCTGAGTGCGCATGCCCGAGACCTGTCTGGTTCCTGCAGCTGATTGGCTGGGGCCTTGGCCAATGAGGCGCGGCCCCAGCGCGTCGGTCGGTCGGTCGGCCGGGCGGGCAGCCGTTGGAGCCGCGTTGCGATGGCCTGGGCGGCCGGCCGGGTTCGAGGCCGCACCCTGGGGCGGTTTCCACTTGCCCTGCCGGTGGGCGCAGTGAGTATCCGTGAGCGTGACATCGAAATCCTTTATGTTCACGTGTAGGCGTCTTCGTCGCCCCTACCCCCGTGGGAGGGGAGCGACCTGATAGCGTTAGCTAGTTTTTCGGAGTCCCTCCGAGGGCGGAGGAGGCCCAAGGCCTCAGCCGGGTGCTGTCGTAGACTCCTCGAACCCGAGGTGTGTATTTACAGTGATTTCAGAAGAAACCGAGGCTGCCTGAGGACACGTGGGAGTACATGCTGGAGGCCAAAGTGAAACCCAGGTGCTTGCATTCCCCTGCCGCTGCTCTCCCCGTCACGTTAGCGAGGTCCGGGCGTGGACAGGGACAGTCTGGAATCTTGATGCCCTTGTTTAACTTAACTTTTGGGGCCAGCAGCAGGTGTGCGGTTTGAGCCCGGGTGCCCTGACACTCTCCGCGCCTGTGCGTGTGGTACCCAGAATGGAGAAGGCATTACAGCTGGCCATGCCCCCAGGCGTGATTTCTCACTTTCCCTCTCTGCGTCTTTCACTTTTTGTTGAGCCCATGTGCCCTAAGGCAAAAATGTCTCAAAAAACAAACAAACAAAAAACAAAAAATACCCCAACTTATTGAAGTCTTGAAAAATAGCAACAAATTTAGGATAACTGCTGTCTTTGGGGATGAGTGTAGAGTCCTTCAATTGAATCAGATTTGTTTAAGCCTTATATTGGGAATCTTGGTAAGCTTACATTGTTTTGTTTTCTTATTTATTGGCCTGGAGGTGACATGATGGTTAAGGGCACTGGACTCCCCATGGTTGACTGGTTCGAGTCCCAGACCTGGTGGCTTGCTTTCTCACTTTCCTTCTCTCCCTTCCCTCTCTCTCTCTGTCCCTCTCTGGTCAAATTAAAAAAAAAAAAAAACAAAACATAAAGTTAAATAAAATCATTCTTAAAATAAAGAATTAATTTTAATTTGACAAGAGGGATAGAAGGTGAGAAAGCAAGCTGTCAGGTCTGGGACTTGAATCGTAATCAGTCATATGGGAGTCTAGCACCTTAACCACCACTACCTGGCGTCCCTGAAACACAATTTTAAATGGAAAACATGCACATGGAAAATAATTTCAGTGGATAAAATGTACACAGGAAAAAGGAAGTCTCCTAGCCCAACCTCCTAGAGTCCCTCACCAGAAGCCACAGTTTTGTGTGTATCTGTGTGTTTTCTTTAGTATATATAGGTGATTTTTTATGTTTGGAGACTTTTAAACACAAACCTGCACGCCAGGGCTTTTTAAAAAAAATAGTTTCTCATTTATTTGTATTTATTTATATTTTTGGAGAGGTTTTTGCTATAGGGTGTGTGTGCTTGCTGGAAAGAGACAGAGAGATAGAAAGTGAGAAATCACCCCCCAGAAGGGATGGCCACCTGCAATCCTCCCTCCTCCATTCTCCTCTCGGGATCTTGGGCACCCATGCACATGCGCCTGGCATGAGTTTAAGCCACCAGGTCTGGGACTTGAACCGCGGTCGACTACATGGGAGTTCAGTGACATAGCCATTACGCTAACTGCTGGTCCCTACTTGTATTTATTTATTCTTCAGTTTGACCAGAGAGAAACACAGAGAGAGAGAGGGACAGGGAGAGTGAGAGAGCAAGCTGTTAGGTCTGGGACTTGAACCATAGTCAGCCTTGTAGGAATCCAGTGTCACCACCACACCACTTGCTGACCCTGGGTGAGTTCATTTTTAATGTCATTAAATTTGTTTAGAAAATTTCTTAACCTCTTTTTAGCCCAGTGAAACGATGTATTAATACTTTTTCTGGCAAGATATTCACATGATTGCTTCTGACTTGAGGTATAGGCCATGCTTGCCCGGCTGTGTTTTCTTTTCTTGCACATCCTTACCTATTTGGTCCCTAAAACCAAAATTAACCTTCTAAAGATGCAAGATGCAAGAGAATAGAGTTATAGCAGAGTATTTCTTCAAACTGCTTTACCCTTATTCATAATGTTTTTATTCATACTCTTCACTCAGGTTCCACTTCAATCCTATCATTGCTTAAAAGTAACTTATTCTAGTGGAATATTGGCAAAATGCAAAATGGTGGGATTCTTTTCCAGATTGCAAGAAAATGCCTATGTTCTTTCTCGCGAAGTAACAAGGAGCGAGCAGTTCAGTTGATTCCATTTAGGGGAAAGCAAGTCTTAATCCTTATTTCACCTCCCTTAAACCCAACATATTTTTTCCTATAAAAAAGTGGTCAGCTCCACAGCCTAGTGGTTAAGGGAGCCAGATTCCACATGGCTGACCATGCGGATCCAATCCTGGCCCCAGCCGCTTGAGGAACACCAGGTGCTTCTGCATACCTCCGATTCCAGAGAAATGGAGAAATAGAGCAGGGATTGGGGCATGACCACATCCCATGGGGAAAATGCTTTCTCCCTCTCCCTCCCTGTGTGGTGACAGCTTGTGTTCTCTGGCAATTAGAAACAAAAATCTTGGGGCCACCAGGTGGCTTGGTGGTTAAGGTGTTGGACTCCCACATGGCTGATTGTGGTTGGAGTCCTGGACCTGGTGGCTTGCTTTCTTGCTTTCTCTTTCTCTCTCATGAATGCCTGTTCCCTATAGGAAAAAAAAGTTAAATAATAAATAAAATAATTTTTAAAAAGGGGGGGGCTGGCAGGTGGAGTGGTGGTTAAGGATGCTGGACTCCCACATGGCTAACCATGGTTCAAGTCCTGGACCTGGCAGCTTGCTTGCTCTCTCTCTCTCTCTCTCTTGCTCTCGCTCTACTTTTCTCTCTTGCTCTGTCTCTCTCTGCCCCTCTCTGTTCAAATTAAAATAGGTAAATAAAGTTAAATAATTAAAAAAATGACAATAATAGTGATAAATAAAATTAAGTACATAATTCTTTTTTAAAAAAATCTCCAATTAGACAGGCGTTGCACAGGTGGGCTGTGGCGCTAACCCAGACACCGCTAACTCCAATGTCCTGCGTTTGCACGTGAAGCTGCTCTATGCACCGCCCGCCCTTTTCTTCGACCTCCAATCTGTGTCTTGCCCGCCACAAACTCGCTCATCCCTGATGCTCGGGAAACTCTAGCATCTTCCTCGTTTTCAAAGCTAAATTCACCTAGGTAGTGTGGGACAAAGTTTTAGCCTGATGGGGGCGTTTGACAGGACTGATTGCCAATACCTGGACACCTGGAAAGTGGGAGGACCATCCACTGCGCGGGGCAGGCTGTGGCTCTTCGGTCATTTTCGAAACCTTCAGTCTGCGAGCATCTTTCCTCCGTGCTGGCGTGCTGCGGGAATGTGGCTTAGCGCTTTGGTTGGAGAGCCAGTGACGGAGCTTAGGCATTTTAAAAGAACGACCTCTGTTTGAGGGAGCGCGGGGCCTGAAGGCGACAGAAAAGGCGGTCTTAAGGGGCGCGGGTGCGACGTCACTGCGGCGCGCCGCTTCCGGTCCCCAGCACTTAGCGAATGACTTCTCCCTCGGTGGGACCTGAGCCGGGCTCGCAGCGACCCCCAAGTCCACAGTCGCGCCGTGCCAGCCCGCGAGTCGGCCAGCGTGAGCGGCCCACCCGCGCCTGGGACCATGGCCACCGACTCGTGGGCCCTGGCGGTGGACGAGCAGGAAGCGGCGGCCGAGTCGGTGAGTTGGCTTCAGCCGAGAAAGGGTCAGGGCACCAGTTTTAGCCAGGGACTTGATCCCTGCGAAATGACACGTCTAAGTTTGTGCGGACCGGGATGGGACGTAGTGGGGCGCCTGGGCTCCCACCCGGCGAGCACCCCGCCGCTTGACTGCCTTCCTGGAATCCGGATTGATCATAGATTGCAGTGTACCTCCTGGCTTGTGATCACCCTTTCAGGTGTCATTCTCCACCAGCACGTTCTGACTGTCAGAGGTCGGGACCGTGTCCCACTTGTACTCGGGTTCTTGTAGCTTGCTCCGCGATCATGAGTGACTCAGTACCTCTGGCAGTCAGTAATTCCTCTCCTCCTTGCTTGACTGTTCTCGCTGGGCCTGACCCACAGTAAGCACCATGTGTGTTAAATATTACTATGTAGAATTCATTTCTCCACCTAAACACTCAAGTTCAAAGTAGGGCTTTGTTTCTTTTTTTAAAAATAATTATTTTATTTATTTTATTTGCTTATTTATTTTAATTTGACCTGAGAGAGACAGAGAGAGAGAGAGAGAGAGAGAGAGAAAGCCACCAGGTCCGGGACTTGAACTGTGGTCGCCCATGTGGGAGTCCAGTGCCCTTAACCACCACACCACCTGCCAGCCCCTGCTTTTTTGTTTTTTGCCATAGTGCATGTGTGCTTGGCAGAGACAGAGAAGGGGAAAGTGAGAACCATACCCCAACCAGGATGACCACGCAGCAGTCCTTTCTCCTCCATTCTTTTTTCGTGATTTTGGGCACATATCCACAGCACCTAGTTTTTTTTTTTTTTTTTTTTTTTTTTTTAATCTACCCCAAGTACACCCACCTTTAACAAAAAT